CACACACACACACACACACACACACACACACACACACACACAACCAGTTTGTGTATGTTTTCTTTGCATTATGTGTCTTTCTTCCTATTTTTGCTGGTCTAAGTGAGCACGCTTAAGCAGTGCCAAACAGTCGGTCATTCCTCGTTTGGAGTGGATACAACACTCTTCGGGGGACCGGTCAGTTCGGGATGTCTGTGTTTCCTGCAGGTGACGATGGATGTTCATCTGAGTGATTCCCTGGCTCAGCGGGTGGTGGGAACCAACAGTTTGTGGGTTTTGCTCGTGATGAGAGTGGGTGATGTGTCGCTTAGCTCTGTGTTGGATACTGCCTTGTCTGCGCTCTGCCGCTGCCTTGCTGCCCATCCCGCTTGCTTCGCATGTCGTACTCACTGTTCTGCTGCCTTGCCGCCGATCCCCAGGCTGTGCCTTCCGTGTCTTTTGCTTGCGTGCCTTGTGGTTTGATTGCGTTGTTGGTGTTTCCTTGCGCTTCACTGCACGGTTGCCGAGCTGCTCGTCCGCTTGCCTGGTCATTCCTTGCAGTAGTCTTTGGCGTTGAGCAGCCGTGTTGCCTCTGCAGCATTGCCTGGTGCTTCCGTGGGTTGCTGCCCGCTGCTGTGTTCCGTTCGGGGACTGTCTGCCTTCAACAAGGGTCAAAGGGTGCATGACCCAAATCATCAATATGCGGACTCTGCAGATCGTCGAGGGTTCAGCCTCCAGATGAGTCGGTGCAACTCCGACGAAACAATCTATCATCCTCAGCTTTTATTTTTTTCGGTGTTTTGGTTTTTGGTACTTGTATATTTTCTTCGCCTGTTGCTTGTTGTCTTTTGCCTGTCTTGTGCACTGCATTTCTGCTTGGGTGTTGTGCTCTCCAGCCTCCCCCGTGCCCTCCATCCGATGCGTTGCCTCACTGCTTTTTCCTTGCTGTTGCTTCTTATCTTTTCCCTGTTTTGTGTGCTGGATGTGTGCTTGGGGGTCGCGATCGACCGTTCAGGATGCCTTTTTGGAGTTGTCAGGAATGGGTCGGATGACAATGTCGTAGATTGTTTTCAAGGATCACGGAGTGAAATGGTTTGCGGTGAATATCTCGTGGATGGTTGGTCAGGCCGTTTTGAACAGAGTCATAGCATAGTATGCTAGGCGTAGTAGCGTACAGTATATAACACACCCACACTCAAGCAGTTTTGTGTATGTCTGTCTTTTGTTTGCTGCTGGTTCTTTCTCCGATTCCTTTCTTGCTTTCTCTGTGTCTGAGTGAGAACCTTTAAGAAGCACTACACAGTAGGTGATCCATTTTGTTTGGAGTGCCTACAGGACTCTTAGGGGATCCGCTCTGTTCGTGACGTCTCTGTGGTGCATATGGTCTATGGGTGATGACAGACGTCTGTCGGAGTGACGCCCTCACTCAGCAGGTAGTGGGAACTCGGAGTTCACTCGTGATGTGAGTAGGTGATGTGCCGCTTTGCTCCGTGTTGGATGTGTAAACTGCCTTGTCTGCGCTCCGCCACTGCCTTGCTGCCCGTCCCGCTTGCTTTGCATGTCGTCCTTTGCGAGCTGCTGTGTTCACCGTGTGGTGTGGCAATGCCATTGGTGTTGCCTTGTGCTTCGCTTCTCTGCTGCCTCGCCGCCCATCCACATGCTTCTCTGCTGCCTCGCCGCCCATCCACATGCCTTGCCTTCCGCGTTCTATCCATGCAGTTGTTTATGGCGGTGTGCAGTCGTCTTGCCTCCACAGCGTTGCCTGGTGCTTCACTGAGTTGCCGCCGCTGCTGTCGTCCATCTGTGAACGGTCTTGCTCCTAACAAGGGTCAAATGGTTGATGAACCAAACCGTCCATATGGGGATTCCACAGATTGTCGAGGGTTCAGCCTCCTGATGAGTCGGTCTCAACTCCGATGAAACAATCTCTCACCATAAGTTTTTTTTTTTTCTTTTTTTCCGGCCTTTCCTGTTTTGTTGGAACTTTTACTTCTTTCTGGTTTGCCAGTTTTGTGCGCTTGTGTGTGTCGTTTGCTCTCTCACCTCCCCCGTGCCCTCCGGCCTTTGTTCTTTGCAACTGCCTTTCGTCCTATGCCTTGTTGTCTCATGCCTTTGTGTGCCCACCCGCCTCCACCCCTGACCTCCAGCCTTTTCCCTTTGCCCTTTGCTGCCGCACGTCGTCACATGCCTTGTTGACTCATGCCCTTTCCTTCACTCTCTTCTGTCTACCTTTTTCTTTGTTGCCTTGTGTTTATCTGACTTCCCACCCACCTCCCCCGTGCCTTCCAGCTAATGTGCCTTGCTGCTGCCTGTCACCCAATGGCTAATCGTCTCCCCGCCTTGCTGGTCACAGTCTTTCACTTTCTGGCTCATTGCCATGGTCCATGGACAATCAATTCCTCTCTACCATGTTCTCTGCAGGTGGGCAGGTTGTCGCCAGATTAAATTCCATGATGCTCTTTCTTTCAGCGAGCGTATTTAGAACACTCAGTTAGGGATGACCTGCACTTGGTGAGCAACACGGTCTTCTTTATTTTACTGCTTGCCGCGGTTAGCAGTGTGCACACCTCTCTTAATTCCTGCTATCAAAACACCTGTATGCATCCACTCTGTGCAAACAAACAGTTACCCGATTCCATCTCTCCTCTCTCTCCCCTGCTGTCTCCATCCCTCAATTCCCCTTCCTCCCTCTCTCTACTTTTCCTTCACACACTCTAACTCATTGTCCTCCCTCTTCTCTGCCCTTAATCTCAAAAGAAGATGGTGTGGATTTGCTGAGACCTTACCGTAGCCTGCAGCTCTTCCCCGCACGCCCCCTGATCCCACTCGCAATCAATGACCAATTCCGAGGGCCATACTTCTTGATCAGTGACAGCAGCAGTGCATCCTCCTGGATTGCAGTTGCAGGATAAGCACAGGCCGAACTGATTAGCCGAAGTCTTATATTCAATTCCAGGTTTCCATAAGCAGAAGTGTTAATTTTTCTTACGCAGGTCACAAGATATCTCCCAGCCACCAATCACAATTAGGTGGGAGACTGGGAGTGTGACTGTGAAAACCACGCACCCGCACAACTGTGCTCTCTACCAGACAAAACCCCAAACCAAAGGTGACGTCAATCACGAGGATTGTCATTTCAATTTGCTTAGAAAACTCAGTCTTATTGAAGGTAAGCAGTTCTCACCCCTCCTTGGTATCTTCTTGCCCCTTCCCCATGAGCTGATGCTAACACCAGTGTCACAACTCTTTTACCACCGTACGCCATGCTGCGCTCCACACGAGGAGGCAATTATAGGAGAAGATAAGAATTTTTGACAGGACATGATAGAATAGGATGACGGACGGACTGACGGACTGACGGACTGATGGACTGACTGACTGACTGACTAATTGCTTGATTGATACTTAATCGATTGCTGTCTGAACAATAATATCTGACACCCATGATGAACTACATCAATCTGAGATAAGGAAACAAGTGTCACATTAGCCATTTTGCTTGCGATCGAGGGCAAAGCTCAGTCCTTATTCATTTCTTTCCCCTTTCCATTCCCTCCAGTGTCAACCTGCTTTCTGAAACTTTCAGTTTACTTCTTCTAGTTGAGCTTTCCATGATCGGTGTCGCTTTGTGACGAACTAACTAGGTGCCCAGCTTCAGCGAACTCTGCACAATTTTTTTGTGATGAAATTTTGTGAAAAGTAGAAAACTGTTCTCGATCAATACTCGACTTCTTGAGCATCGCTACGGAAAAGCGAGCCAGAACATACGCGAGTTTCTTTTCTCCTCATTAACTCGGTCCACATTTTCATTGGTATTCACTACTATTCACTAGTATTCAGTGTATTTTCTTCTATTAGTGGAAAATTGGAAATTCAAAATTGACATCTGTCGCTAGTCAAAGTTTTTTATTATTATTTTGAGCACCTTACTGAAAAACTGGAACCGATGATAAATGTGAGTTTGTCCCTAGCAAGAACTTGATTACTTGGCCCTTTGTGTGCCCCTTGTGATGGGAGGCGTCATACCAGGCTGCTACTCGAGTACCACAACGCCAACGTCACAGGTCACATCGACGAAAAAGGCAATTTGGCTCAATTATGCTGACCCGGTCTCTTGACTGACGTTAGGAGTTTATCTGGCATGCAATCCGCAACAGAACTCACGTGTTCCCATACACACATGCAATCATGAAGCAGACTCGGAGAAGGCAAATCCACACCAAACCGGAGAGACATACACAGCGGAAGCACCAGATACAAAAATAGAATTGAATTGAAATTTGAAAATTCATTTCTTGATTCCCCCTTTCCTCCTCCAACCAATCAAAATTACAAAAAATTCCAGAATATCGACCACGTTGTTTCAACAACTGCAACAGAATTAGACAAGTTTCAATCAAGTATCTGGGAGACTTCGTCTTCCTCCCTTTCAGTCTCCACAGGCCTACCGTTTTCACCTGAAAATAACCGCCCGGGCGTAATATTCAACTTGCCCTAAAAAAAACAGATTTTTTTTTTTTACTCACCTTTTTTTTTAATAGAACGCCTTCGAATAGAATGCCCGGGCGTTCTATTTGAATGTGCCATGGACAGAGCGCCTTGTAGAGGGACTATACATGGGTTTTGAAGGGGGGGGAAGGGGATATACATGGGTTTTAAAGGGGGTTGAAAGGGGTTTTGAGTCTTTTGACTTTCAAGGGGTATGTTTTGGTTTTATTTTTTGCTTTCTTTTTTTGATTCCGAATTTAGAAGGAATTCTGAGGTGACCCTCAGCCAGAAGTTGGTTGCATTTCAATTCTAGACAACATATTTTTTTACAGAATTATTTGATTTTTTTCTGTCTTTTTTTTTTTCTTTTTTTTTTTTATTTGGGTCCCTGCCCAAGTTGCCACCGATTTACAGAACATAACCGCCGGGCGTTGTATTCATATACAACGCCCGGGCATTATTTTCGGGTGAAGACGGTAGCTATGGCGCCACCCTGAAACAGCGCCTCAACCCCAACACCTGCAGAACACCGTAACAACCTCCCTGTCTGAAGCGCCAACCCAGCAAACACCTAATGCCCTGACTGCAGACCCAGCGCCCATTCCAGGGAGAAGCGCCATCCTCCCTGATGAAGACGATGTCAACCTCTTCCAAGAAGAAAGCCAAACTTGCTGCCATGTGGCAAGCGCTACTGCAGTGCCCAACTCCCAACGATCGCAGATGGGTGTCGCCGCTACAGTGTTGCAGCACCTGTTGTATTGCTGTCCCTTAGGTCAGTACCCGTCCTAGCTATGGCGATCGTCTTCTACCTTTCCAGCAGTGCGGCATTCACCAACTGGTCCGACAGCGTTTCCCCAACTACTCAAAACGAAAAGAACCCGAAACAATTCTCACTCCAACTACTCCTAGATCCTACGACCTACAGGACTGGCCCTAGAGCTAGGACGAACCTAACTCGCACGGGCCTACCGTTTTCAGTACCATATGGGCAACAGCAGGAAAGCCCTCCGGACTGGGACTGTCAGAATTTGCAGAAAAGTCCCTGCGGGATTAGGCCTGTTTCGTTACTGGTTAGGCCCCCGAACTTCAGAAAATTTAGAAAACGCCCTACCAGTGTTACAGCTCGCTTAGAAACTGCAAAGGTTCATTGCAGACAGGTGTGGCTGCGATACAGCCAGTGCAACCACCCTCTGTTCAGGGAGTCGCGGCCTCTTCTGGTGTTGATGTTCATCCATCACTATAGAGTAGTATAGACGGTATCGGGGTCCTTCCCACATATTCACCTGATGGGTAACGTCGCCGCCTTCACTGGGGTTGACTATCTAACCAAGCATACGCGTTTCTTCCTGTGCAAAGGCCACACCTCTACCACCGAGCGGGCAAAAGTTTTTTTTTCCAACAGGGTCAGATAAGTCTAAACTTCTCTAAAGTATCTCTCTCCAAAGAAATTGTCAGCAACTGGGACTCGCAATCCTCGAGCTGACTTGCTCCCATTACCCTCAAAGCGAAGGGACGATCGAGCCAGCATCAAACCACGCAGGTGATCCTTTGGTCCCTCCTCCGCCTTAACAAAGTGATTGGGAACAATAGTCATGTTCGCCTCAAAATACTTATGTCCACCTGACAATCGGCATGTCGTTGTTTGAGTTGAAGAACGGGTGCACTGCCCGACTACTTGCTAACGCCCTCATACCCGATCACATCTGACACAAATCTACCCAGTTCAATTGTTGGTTTTCAAAACAAAACGCACAATCTGATGACAAAGGCCCGAATCCACAAGCGGCAGCAGGAGGCAACCTGCTATCAGTTATCTTGCCATACTGAGGGCAAGGAGCTCAGTTTGGAATAGGTCATTCTGCGTAAGCTCCTCCTCAGGTGGCTTGGCCATTCATTCACCTAACTTGTCAGCAACAGGTAGCCAACCTGCACAACCTTCATTTATCATTGACGCTGACAGTGGCTCCCATCCGGGCTGGCGTTCACAATAGACTCGTTCTATGGACAATTTCCAAAAGGTGGCCGCGTCGTCACACGCCAGGTTCGCTAGAGCAATCGTTGCCTCGTGTGTGTTGAGATCGAGGCTCCTGAACCTGCCATTCTGGCAGATTATGAATGTTGATCATCATGGTAAAGAAGCCTTACAAGATGAGTATGCCCACCCGCGCGCACGCGCGCGCGCGCGCGCGCGCGAGAGAGAGAGAGAGAGAGAGA